CAGTCAGTCACGAACATTCTCCTACTTTCGTGACAACCCGAAGTTCCAATGCTATGTTCCCTAGATCTCGACGCTGGTCTGTATCCTGAGACAGATTAATCTAGTCCAGACTCTCTTAAAATTCATACTGGAGGGTCTATCATTCTCCAACCTAAATCTTTACTTGTCAGATGGTCTTTTCTCTTTGGGTATTCGAAATGAACTTTGTAGGAATTTTTCCTCTCCCTCATTCTGAATGCGTGCCTTCACTCGGTCACGTCATTGCTCAAGCGGTGGTCAGGGTTCGAGGTGGGTTCAGGTCATGTGGAATTTGTGGTGGACAAAGTAGAACTGGGGCAAGTTTTCTCCGAGTACTTCGGTTTCCCCTATCATTCTTCATTCCACCAATTGCTCCACAATCACCATTATCTATAGTCGGAGGCTGGCACAATAAGCCAGTAGTGGCCGCAGTACCAAGCGGACTCAGTCTTACCCCACCAAGACTAATAATAATAAAAATCCCTTCACTCTCTCGTCCTTCATTTGATCATTGCTATTAATATCTGGTGAATAACAGAGATTTTAACAGTCATATACACTTTCTGAGCGCTGTGTGTTCCCAAGCTGTAAATTATGACGGCCTCACTGGTCCCATTTTCACATAAATTAAAGTTGAAGTACTGTCCAGAGAGGAATGTAGATAACTGCGGATAAATTTTCCGAATACCACTGGATGGCATGCGCAAGGGCTCTGTATATTTTCTACCCTTATTTAATAATTTCACAGGGTATAATGTGTGTGGTGTAGGAAACATAATATCAAGAATGCCGTCTTCTGGGATGTGACTGCAGTCACCTTCTCAAGTTGGTTCCTATCTCTTGGATTTTTTACCCAGAAGATGGAGGCAATGTGTTCCTCCGAAACGTCGGTTCATATGACATCTACACGGCGCCACATCCCAGAAGATGGTATTCTTCATCGTTACCATTGTGATAGCTGCAAATCTTACAAACACAAGAAATATCATCTGATATAACATATATGTAATCACCGTATTCAAATGGAGACTGTTTTATGAATATGTCCGCATTCTTTGTCATGTAAGTCATCCAGTAAAAGAAATTCCTCTAGGAATAGCCTCCTACACAATTTAACAGATGAAATTGAGAGTGAAGTCAGTTCCGACTCAGCTGAAAGTAACTTCCATCTTCTTCGTCCTGAAGCCACGAGTTCTGTCATCAAACATATGATTACTGAGGCATAGTTCCTAACTTATAAGCGATCTGTCATCCAAGAGAACCATTTGTTCCGACGGTATTACCGAAACGTCACATCGCCTCTATTCTGGCTACACGAGTATCAAGATCACGTGATTAACATATCCAAGGACTTGCAATGCAGGCATTATACTCAGATAATGACGCCAATTTTAAAGTTAAATGTGCGCTCACACTCAAAGATACAAATGCATTTGTTATTGTTTTAAGCGGAAACAGCCGTGAGACAGGGATTCCTGTATCATTTAGTTACTACTACCATATTACAACGTTTACTCGGAAATTTGACAGCAGAAAGAGTAACGACTCTTTTTGTGCTTTAACTGACATATGACTACAATTGAGATGCCTTGAATAAACGTCAGGCAGTTCATTTCGTAGGTGCATAAGCCCGACTTCTTGATCTACGTTGAACGTGCCATATTATATTTTTATTGAAAAAATGTGAGGTAAATCCTCACCCCGATCATTTAGAAGTGTAGGCCGTCAGATAATGGAAATTTATTGATCCCCTCTGACGTGATATACGTATAATTTCAAGCAAAGAAACTGTGCGCGACGGAACTACAGCGGATTTTTCAGATTTCTGAATAATTTAGTTTTACTCTCAATTACAGACACCTTTCTTTTTATTGTGCGAAATGAAATATAGCTGAAGGTTGGTTGTAATTATTTGATATTCCAAACGATGCTATCAAAATACGAGGGTAAGTCAGAAATTATTCGCACTTTCTCCATAACACATCTTTAGGTTTGTCACACTGCCTCCTACGCATGCATTGTTAGAGTTGGTACTACTGTGGTCACGTGATCGAAGTTTTACCTTGATCGCATCATTTTCCTTGATGCTGTGACAGTGTACACATGGCCGCTCTGCTAGCAGTGTGCACCAATGATTGACAAAGAATAGTGATCCGATTTCTCTGATTGGAAGGTGTGTCAGGGGCTGAAATTCATATATGGCTTCATCACTATGAGCCAGAATCCAAAAGCCAAAGTATGGCGTGGAAACACCCGGGATCGCAAACGAAGATGAAATTCAAGACTCAATCTTTTGTGGGAAAGGTGATGCTAACCGTTTTTTGGGACTCAAAAGGGCCTATACTGGAAGACTACCTGGATAAAGGGTGTACGATCAACAGTGCAAGATACAGTGATTTGCTGGCCAACAATCTGAAGCCAGCAATTCGCACCAAACGCCGAGGCCTATTGTCGAAGAAAGTGTTGTTGCATGACAATGAACACTCACACAAGGACGGCCAGACCGTTGAAACCATTCACCATTTGTGTTTCGAGGTGCTGGAACACCCTGCCTACAGCCCAGATCTCGTCCTTTCCGACTATCATCTCTTTGGACCGCTCAAAGATGTTTTACGAGGTTTTTGATTTTCTACGGACAAAGAAGTGGGGGAAGCGGTGCATAAATGGTTGCGCGACCAACCGCAAACCTTCTTCGTCGAGGGAATACGCAAGCTTCTACCTTCTCCTAATTCATTATATGTCAAAACAATTAGTACGACACTAAGTATCATACTTTAGGAACAGACCTGCTGTTTTTCTACATTTCTAGCTCCAAATTCAGAAAAAAGGCAAATCGAACAAAATCACGTGTAAATATATCTCAGTGTCTTCTGACTCGCAATTGTAGCATCGGTCGAATCAAGCAAACAGAATTACTTTGTTCTTTCTTTTCAATTTTACTCAGAGCTTTCCGAATGTAACATCAAAGACGGGACAAACGAATCAAAGAGACCAATTTAAAGTTCGTTTGGAATGAATCTGGCAGGTGCACATTGTGATATATTTTCATGCATACAAAAATATTTGTATACATTAACAGGACGTAATTCTATTAATATTTCGTGCCTTCGTCCATTAACTCATATGTCCGCACACAGTTTCTGACGTTAAAATTATTTCGGATTCGAACACGATCACTATAAGGAAGAATATATATAAATATTATATGCAAATTAATCTTATTTATTTTCAGAAACGAATGCATAAAACTTGTTTAGTGTTACATTCTGACAATATATCGAAGACAGTGGCAATGCCCGACATAACCGCACCAAGTAATTCCACTGCTTCCTGTACGTGTAACGTTGCTGCAACGTGATCTATCAGCTTCTGCTTCATAATTCTGAACTATTCTACAGCAGAAGCAGGTGACAGCCCTGGCACTTCCTGAGGGCAGCAGGCACTGCCCTGCCAAAGAAACGTGACAAACTTCCATATCTTGCAGTGCGAGTTACAATTAAAAAGGAATGCAAATTCTCAATTCCCCTTCATTCATTACACGACAGAAATAAGGGAAGGATCGAAATTGTGGTATGAATTTCTGCTATGGTATGATTTTTTTTTTTTCGAGAATTTAATTCAGAGTTTCCGGTATTGGATTGAAGGACCGAAGTTTTATATAAGCGCTATCATTAATGGAAGTAATTAACAAAGAACGTTAAGAGATGATAGTCATATATGTTGAATTTGAAAAGAGATTAGATAAGAAGCTATCGTAGCCTATTTGATAGTAGTACCGCTGGTACAAAATCCACGAAAAACCTCACTAAATTTAGCCCGTATGCCGATCGCGGTTCGAGCCGTACATTTCTGATAGAGGCCAGAAGCGTCATCGCTAGAGCCACCTCAGTATTTTTGTCGTTATATATTACGTACAAACAAACTCATTTCCTCGAATCTTCTTGCTATATTAACTACTGACTTAGTTTCCTTAGTAACGATAGCACGCAACGTGTAGCTGAAAGGTACGGCCAAATTCTGGACACGAGTTCTATATACCATGTCAAGAAAATATGTTCATATTAACATGTGTCCGGAGGCATTTAGTTTATGATTTATAGCCGAAAGAGTACATTTCTTGCAAGTGCTCAAAATGCACCCCCATGTTGATAACAATGCGGGTGTCAGCACGAGGCCTGTTTTGGAAAAATTACATATTTCGCACATGGCCATTTGGAAGGTACCGCGTGAACAGTTGTTTTACACTTATCGTTTGAGAGTGCAGTGTCTCATAGCTGCTGAGTTTCCAGCGTTTTGTTCAACGAACTGCCGAATATTTTTTATCAATATCCTTTTCAAGCTGAAGTTCTGAAATATTAAGGTCCAAAATTTGGCTCGTCATATTAAACATGTCACTGGATCCTTCAAATTATTAAAGGTACGCGGTAGCGTAAGTTAGCTGAGGCACTATGCTACAATCTGGATGATCGAGGGTTCGATTCCCGATGAGGTCATCGAAATTTTCAATTAGCCTAACTCTTCCAGCCGTACTATAGCTCTGGGGTAGACTCAGCCTCTAAGAGAATTAGTACCAAAGATCTTCCCTTGTTGTAAAGGGGGCCAGGCGTGTAAGGCTTACAACCTCACCGCCATCTGTGAGCCGGTTGTCTAGAAAATGTGGGGGTCTCGACGTCTCAAAATCGTATGGGCCTTCACGGCCTGTTACAGGGATATATTTTTTATAGTATAAAACTTCTTAGTCACAAGCCTGCAAAGAGTTCCACAATGCGATGATCCTGTACGAAGTTGATAATGTATCCCGTGATACGACAAAACTACTACATGGAATGAGGGGGACATAACATCTTCAGAGAAATCTCGTAACGATACCGCGCGTGCTCTAATGCATATATACCTTCTGAACAAGTCTGTTTTGAGGCACTATATCAGTACATGGGTTTGCGTAACACAGAACTCCAGTCACCTTGTATTTCTGTACTTACTCGAGATGCGATTTCTGCACGTCGAAGTCCTTGAACGTTATCTCGATGATTTCGTCACGACTCGCGATGAATGTGTAGAGGAGGCAGTTGATGTTGTCTTGGTATGGATGCGGATAGTCCGGGCTGCTGAAAGAGCCGTAATCCTTGCCGTACGTGGCCGAGAACAGCAAGCACTCGCAACCTGAAAGTCACATCCCAATGTTACACTCGCCGCTCTGTGAAACAGACAAGTCCGCGGCTTCAGGACATGCAATTCTGCTGAGGGAAAAGGGGATCTGCTGCATAAGAGGAAAATTCCTAATCTGTACTCTGAACTTAAGACTGGTACAATGAGCAAATGAATTTTAAACTGGACTATATATGTAGCACGCAAGAGGGAAAAGAGAAATACATAACATTGGAAAACTATAATCATTATGAAGAATGCCGTTTTCAGGGGTGTGCTGCAGTGTAGATATTGTGTGAAATGACGTTTCGGAGGACTGCATGGCCTCCATTTTCAGGTTAGAAAAATCCGCTAGCTAGGAACCAGGGTGAGCATGAGGCTGCAGACTGAGCCACCAGTCGACGTTAGTTCACAAAAGATCTACACGGGGCCACATCCCAAAAGACGTAATTCTTTATAGTCACCGCCGTGAAAACCTCAAACCTTACATATTATCATTATCATTAACATCGAAACTGCAAGGTGAAGGACTTTTGAGCTCTTCCGATCTTCGTGTTAGACGAAATGATAGTGAATAGGAATACACTATTTTAAACGTCGACATTTGAACTATTTCTTACAGTGTAGTTTTTAAATTAATCAAACGAAGTTAGAATTATCTCCATATATGACGAAGAAAGTAAAGCCAAATACATACCATATTTTAATATAAAAATCTCTTAGAAAGAAGAACCCTCAGGTAGAGAGGTTAATAAATTTAAAAATGGCGTGTAATATTTTCTGGGATATAATGCTGTGTAGACCGGTTCAGTTGATACGCGTTTCGTAGCAACATGTCGCCTATTACTTAAGGCACCAATCAGAGCTCTGCTTTGAGACTCTATGTTCCTCTGAAACGTCGGTTTATTTTCACCGAACTACGTGACGTTTAACCCAAAAGACAGAAGTATTCGTAGTCACTGCTGTGAGAACCTCGATTCATCCTAATGAAAAACGTTCTAATAAAAATAAATTTGCAGCTACTCAAAGGTGTGGGGTACACACCATTTTGTAACGTCCGAGTAGCAGTATGCATCCTTTATGTGGATTATGAGTTTGGCGGACTCTCAGCTCAGAGAGAAGAAAACAAAGATTTAGGATAACTAAATTTATTGTCGTTGTGACCTCTACATATTCCTACAGATTTAGAATCGAAATTCGGACCAATTGATTAAGGTACAACGATTGAGCTTTCACATTATTGTATGTATGAAATATCTTAAATATTCACTCGCTCATGGAGCTGAGCCCTTCTTGAAAAGCCACCAATTGTACAGCTACTCCAGAACTTCCCAGCATTTTATGGATCCCGAAGGTTCAATATAGTCTAACCTTCCAGCGGTCCCTAGGAGGTTCCATACTTCTAGGTGTTTGATTACAATTTCCTGATTGATACACACAAAATACGTTAAATACAGGCATTAAAAATATCAAGTAGTTGTATTAAAGCCGCCAACTGTTTCCTTGGCTTCCTACACAAACGTAGCAGACTGCTTCATCTGGAGAGCTTGATGCTATAGTTGTTTGCCTGGGTGTAAACTCTACACGTCTCTATGCTCCGTGATTCCTGACGGACGACATGAAAGGTAAGTTGTGCCTTTGCTAGACTCTGAAATACGATTGAGAGAAACAGTTGTGATTCCAGATACGTCAACGTCCCTACAAACAACATTAGCAACGTATCTAGCAGAAAGACAAGTTCTGCTTCGAGAGCAACACTCAGCACAGAAGGGCCTCTCATTTATAGACCAGAAATTCGAGGACGAGCAGATTGCAAAAGAGAAGGGCAGAATTTAGAACACAGGCAAACTTGAATATGGAGAAGTGAATCTAGAATATGCTTCTTCATACGCAAATCATGGGATTTAAAATGCTCCAAAGCGAAATAACAGCTCTAACGGACATGAAGAAAGAAATAATTAAAACGGAGGGCCATAGACTTACAGTTTGTTGACATCATGAAACGTAATTGAATTCAAAACAAGCGTAAAGGCAATACATCATAATAATAATAACAGTAATAATAATAATAATAACTCAAGTATTTGTATTTACACGCTGACCTAACAATTCAAAGGCCCATTACAAAGTAAGCACAAGAAAAACCAAAAAGAAAAAAGAAACAACAAATGCATACACACAAGAAAAACAGAACAAGGCAGTGTTTATCATTTGGATAATAATAATTCCCTTAGCGCAATCAAATCTGTCTTATGAGGTCAGAAAAAAGTATGTACACTTATCTAGAATAACATTTCTAATTTAATAAATAAGAACTTACTATTATAAGATGTTACTGAAACAATTTTTGTTTTAAATAGAGTAACGTCACGAAAAAGAACATTATCAGTCGATGCGCGCCTACGTATTACTGGAGGGGCACATAATGCACTTTGAAGAGTCCCTGGTATACCAAGAAGAATCTCCATGTTTACAGTCTGCAGGAAGGAAGGACAGAATATTCTTTTAATGCTAGTGGACTGGGACTAAGTCCCTTGTAAGCGGCCTATTGTACCAGCCCCAGATGATAGGTGAGGGTGATTGTCGAGCAACTGGTGGAATGAAGATTGGTAGGGGAAACCGAAGTAGTCGGGGAAAACCTGCCCCAGCGCCACTTTGTCCAGCACAAACCCCACTTCATCAGACCCGGGATCGAACCCGCGCCGCCGCGGTGGGAAGCCAGAGACTAACCGCTTAAGCTATGGCGCGACCAAGGACAGAATAAGAATCAACTACAACAACATAAAAACAACAGCAATAAAATTAACAACACGCCAAATAAGAACTGAACCAGGAAAACCTGATTCTGTATGACTTCAGAGAAGCCACGTCACCAAGATAAACCTTACCATTAGTGTTCAGAGAAGATCTCCTGCGCCCTTTTTGCGGGGATGGCACAATTTTGTAAATTCCGAAGAAATATTTACGTACAGATTAATTAATGATGTATTTTAATATCTCAGAAAGAAATATTTGTCATTAAATTATATAACTACGAGTAATTTTCCTGACTTTAAACGTCCCCATTTCTGTATTTTCCATAGTTCCAAGTTAGAAGGTTTCTGTCAGGAAAATGGGGGTCATTGATAAAATGTATGCGGATAATGAGGGCTGGACGAGCTTTCGTAGCCTATTACAGATGTCATTTTCCTCCTCTTTGTCCTTCAGAGCAAAACAACGAAATTAAAAATGTTATGAATATCAAGCATCATCATAAATATTTTAGTTTGTTTTGTGTAAAACATTGCCTAATGACGTAAGCATTGTTTATTGTCGATTCATCAAACACTGCTGTTTCCTGTATAGAATTTTCCATAATAGGCTGCAGTATAGAACAAAAGTGAGGGGAAAATACACCGGCATTATAAGATCAGATAATTTTGGTCCAGTTTGAAATCAAGAGAACAATACTGGCCTCGATCTACCAGCCTATACGAGATTCGTCATGATTTATGAGACATGGTCGGACTTTTAGTCACAGATGCACTGGGTATGTACATGGGCATTTAATCCATAACATGAAATGGAAGCCATAAAATTCTGCATTTTATTTCAGAGAGGTACATGATATTAGTATATCATCACATATGTCGGCGGTTGAATAAATATATAAAAATTTCGTTGCTACATACCAACATATAACATCCATCTCTCTCTTTAACAACTGTGTTCGCTAAAGCCTTTTGAAACATTATTTTATTTGGAGACGACTATGTCTCTTGTCCACATTCACAGACTAGGGGAAGTTGTCCCAACCGGACCTTCTGCCAGTCTGTTGGAATGCAATATTATCATACGTCATTTGGCCTTTCATATAGTACAAGCATTAAGCTCTGAGTTTCTAACAACCACGTGCATTTAGCTCCCATCATACCGAAATATGTACACCCTCGCGCTAATCCAATGGCAAAACCATGTATGAAGAGATATGTTTGTTCGACTACAAGCATCACATCTGATATGATATAAGCCTAAATGTAACGCCAGTAATACACATAAACAAAACTCCGTGACTTTAGTCCGCAAGCGAACTATACCTACCGAGCGACCGCCGCTTGTCGGCGAAGTTAGTTCCACCTTTATCGTATAGAGGGTGTCGCGTGGTCAGTGTAACGAAACCCCACGGCCGTTAATTTTGGTTTTCTAGACCGGAGCCGCTATTTTTCCATTCAAATAGCTCCTCAATAATCCTCTCGAGGCTGACTGGACCCGGTCCCAGACCCAATACTTCTCATAAAATCTGATAGCGCTGGGAATCGACCCCGGGACCTCTGGATCTGTAGCCAGGAACTCTGACCACTAGACCACTGAGGCGATGCGTTAATAAAATGTAAAACATATGCATGCAAACTGAAAGACATACTGGCGGCTGAAGAACAGAATCTTGAAAATCGCCAATGGTGTTCATATTTTATGCTGTGTACTTTAAGCAACATCGTCCCGAGAATTTTGCAATGCGGGAGAAGGACAATGAACAGCACATGACAAAACTATTAACTACTTCTCAATAAAGATACATGCGCTGTGACTAATAATAAGTTTGAGACTATCGATTTTCTGCAGTATATCTCACACAAACGACGTTTCATTGCTTTCTCCTATCGATGTTTGTGTCGACTGTTGTTATCCAGTCCGTGTGCTAACTTTGGGCGCGCTGCAAAAGCCTACGTCAGAAAGAGAAAATGTCCAAAAGTGCATCACAACATTGCCATTAACCTTTAGAGAAGGGCCGCGCCATAGCTCAAGCTGTTAGTCGCTGGCTTCCCAACGCGGCGGCCAGGGTTCGATCCACAGGTCTGGTCTAGTTGGATTTGTGGTGGACAAAGTGGCGTTTGGCGGGTTTTCTCCGAGTACTTCGATTTCCCCTGCCAATCTGCATTCCACCAAATTCTCCATCATCATAATCACCCAGGGGCAGGCTACAATAGGATAATCAGTGGTCTCCGTGCCGAATGGACACAGTGGGACTCCACCCC